ATCATCACCACCACCATCATCATCATCACCATCATCCTTCTAGTGGCTAACATTCACTGGCTTCTTTCCAGGTGCCAAGCACTGTGTTAATTGCTTTGCATACACTATTGTCAATCAGTTAATAATTGTTAGCCTCACAATGCAAGGAGGTTAGTTACCAGAAATACAAAGAGTTTCTGTTATGAAACACGTGTATTATGGTTGCTAGGCAAATGGAAAATGTGATAAAAATTCTAAAATGCTAAGAGAATGTTTATAGTCGTGGGTCTTCATGCTTGGAGATGCTGTGGTTGGTTTGCTTTATGTTCTGGGGAAATGGTATCTCAATAAATCCTGTCTAGATTATTTTCATGGTGCAGGTGAGTGGGAAAGGCTGCTGCCTGCAGAAATCTTTTTGGAGAAACCTGAGGACAAATCTTGCCTTTTAATTCTCTGGTTGAGGGAACTGTTGGTTTTGAGTTGAGTCTCTGCCAGGCAGCGGCCTCGCTGTGCTGGGATAATTTGGATGCAGCATCAAATAAAGCAATCAAAAAGAAAATTCCTCTGAAACTCTCACTGGTATTTAATATTTTATTCATTCCCATGTTATTGTGCTTTGCCTGCGGTAAAACAGCCTCAGAACAGCCTCCTAGGAGTGAGGCATTAGGAGGCTGACAAGCGTCTTCTCATGAATTGCTACTACAATACAATGGCATTTTGTTTGCTGTTTTGTTTCCTTGTCTTCTAACATTCTTTCTGACTTTCAAGGAAAAAAAAGAAAAAGAAACCCTCCTATGAATGGCAAAGAAAAGGAAAGAAAAGTTTCTTTTAAACTTTCAACCTTTTTCATTTTGTACTGGGGAGCATGTAAACATTTTTTTTCTCATGGTATATATGTGGTAGTCTCTTCTCTTTTTTGTGCTTTAAATGGCCTTTTTTTTTTTTCTTTTAAACCACATAGCATTGCCTTTCCATTATTGATTCAGAAAATTGGCAGGGGAAAAAAATCAACCGTGTACACATATTAAGACAGGGAAGTCAGAGGAAGATGGATCAAACCATCCATCTATCCATGCGGCCATTTATCTATCAATCCATCTCGCTACCTACCCGCCTCTATTAAAATAAATAGCAGGCACCGTACACATTGCTGGTTGGCTGAAGTTGTGATTTGGACAAAAGGTCTGTTTGGGAAAAGGATGCTGAAGCTCTAATTCTATTTGTGCCGGTTGAAAATCAGGAGGGGTTTTTCTACACTTCACTTTTATTAGATTATTTCTTATAGATGGTTTCTTTTTTCCTCCCAGACGCGTGGTGGAGGCTGCTGAAGCAGTTGGTCTATAGTTGGAATAATTAAATTAACCATTTGGTACAACTTTTAGGGGAGAGCTCGCGTGTAGAAAGCACAACGCGAACAAAACAGGGCGCTGGGGCTGGGGCTCTGGCCTGGCCCAGCCCCGCACGCCTTTCATCTTCGGAGCAGAAGCAGGACCCCGGGCCACAAAAGACCGACAGAGAGGACGATGGGCCAGGGATGGTGGGGGGGGGTT